TATAATTTATAATCATCGTGTGATTTATAAAGGGGTCAGTAAAATGCGGGGTTGGATAATCTCTCTCAAACTCAAATCCGTCTTCCATGGGCTCATCCAAGCCCAAACCACACAACTCCAATGAAAAAACGAACCCCATCTTATCCAGTCGCGTGACCAGAGGAGGACAGCAGCATAGACTCGGCAGGGAGAGGAAGTGAGTGAGACAGAGATACGAGAATGGCAATGCTTTGTGCCTCATCTTCTTTTACTTCAACAAAACCCTCTTGTTCTTACTCAGCAAGGAACGGCACTAGTATTTGTACTACCCCTTTTGTTGCTGGGTTCTCATTTTCACAATCAAAATTAAAACCATGTGTCAAAACATCTTTATTTCCTTTGAATAAAGGCAGCCGTAGTTTTGAGGTTCGGTGCGAGAAGAAAGAGAAAAACGTAGTCACTCGCGTTCCTCTTGACCAACGCTGGTTGTTTGAAGAATCTGAACTTAATGGCCCTGTAATTTCCTCTCTTTCTTTCTCAAGTTTCTTTAATTTAATTGTTAGAATTCCCGATGTATAATTATCTTTTTTCTTCTGGTTATCTGGGATTTTTTTCCTTTCTGATATTTGCCAGGCTTTGAGTCCCTTTTTAAGATTCTTAAGGCGGTGCGTGATGTTCACTTATGCTTTATTTCAATTTTTTGTTTTGTTGTGGTTTTATTTTGAATAGGATATTTGGAATACGACATGGTATCCTAAAGCTGCAGATCATATTAACACGGAGAAAACTTGGTATGTTGTTGATGCAACTGACAAGATTCTTGGAAGACTGGCATCTACAATTGCCATTTACATTCGTGGAAAGAATTTGGCGACTTACACTCCTAGTGTGGACATGGGGGCTTTTGTGATCGTGGTATGTGGATAGAATAAGGACGCATGTTCCATGCCTTTCTTTAACCATTTGCAATGAATGTTGAATGCGTAACGTTTCACTTTATTTCATTTTATTTTCATCAGCTAAATATTTCTGAAATTGGGGGCTTTTGTTGTTTTCAAGTAGATAAAACTGTTATATATTTCTTATTGTGTCACATTACATTGCATTTGATTAGTTTCTACTAGATGTTATCCTTAATGCTCCTGGTATGGTTTTAAACCTAAAATAGCTTTGTGTCTAATACACTTTTTGCATCAGTCAAAGTGAATCTGACAAATATGGATCATGATATATTATTTGTTTCACCTGCTTTTACTTGTTTCTATCTTAATTCTGTAACTTGCAAGCTCATTGCCGCATAATTGGAGTTGAATGGCTCATCAAATCTTATCAAATGCATTAAGGCTTGATTACAGTGTATTTGGAGTTGAATGGTTCACAAAATCTTATCAAATGCATTAGAAGAATGTTCTGATGAACATAGATAGAGAGTTATAAAATTGCTTAAAGAATTAGCATTCCCAATTAACAAAAGCAATTAGCAAGTGTACTGATCTTTATGTATAGGTTTTGAGGTTGTTTTCCTCTAGGAAACCAATTATCTCCCAGTCAATTTAGTACCATAAGCATCAATTGGTGGAAGCGGGTTGATACTGAAGGCTTCATGCAGTGCACTTGGGTTGCTGAGTGTTTATCCTCCTTAAGAAAAATCTTGTTACATTATGGATTATTTACTAATTTTATCATTATGGTGGCATAATATAATGTATCTCTTAACACTCTTATTGATAAGATCATCGATCACTCAAAGTGCTTAGTACGAATTACTGATGTGGTTTGGATGAGGAAGAGAGTAGGTGTTAGTTGTTCTATGACCATGTTTTGTACCAGAATCTTAATACATATAGAGGCTTGTCTGACTTCATCAGGTATTTTCAGACATGAGAGAACTTCTTGAAAATTTGAAATTGAAATTCTGCCAACAGTTTATCCACATGTTTGTTGATTTGATCTAGAAAAAGTATGATGAAGAATTAGAATTCATAATGTCTTATTGCAGGATTTCGCTGAATGATATCTGTTTTGATTTCCAAAACATTAATCTCTATATCTTTTCCTTAGTTTGTGTACCAATCATTTTTTCTCAAAATATTGTCATCTAGAGATTCACCTGATATAATTTGCTCACAACTCCACTCAGATTTAATGGATTATTGGTATTGTAATTGTTTCCATGCAATTATACCTGCTTGTTGAGGTTCTGATGCGAGGATTAGTGGGACATTTCTACTTCATCCCTGAATGTCAATTTCTGTACAGTGCTTCTTATAGTATCAATTACATTTAACTTTAGTGCTTTATCTGATCTCAAAAGGTAAATGCTGAGAAAGTTGCTGTATCTGGTAAGAAGAGGACCCAAAAGTTATACAGAAGGCATTCAGGAAGACCAGGTGGAATGAAAGTGGAGACATTTGATCAGCTACAACAGAGGATTCCAGAAAGAATTATTGAACATGCTGTTCGTGGTATGCTTCCTAAAGGAAGGGTGAGTGCTTATGTTCCGACTCAGAATGAGTATAAGTAATTTATTTATTTACAAGCTTTCTCATTCCTTAAGGATGTCTTATCCAGCTATCCTCTTAGCTGTACCGAATTCTTTTCCCATTCTCAATAAAATTGCTTATAAAATGAAGTACACATATTGGACCTTTATATATTTTAGGATTTTTGTTTTGCCTGTATTTTTACAACAAAGTTTTTCCATGAAGTCTGACTATATTTTTTTATTTTTGTTACTTTATTTAAACAATTCTTGGTTTTCCTTGGTGCTTTGCTCTGCAGTATTAAATATTCATATTTTAACATAGGAGCTGTGGTTTTTTCTTTTCGGGTGCTTTGATCTTCACTCTTCAGTTGTATTGCCTTTTTTGCTCTGTCTTACTCTAAAAGCATCTAGTGTAAATAGGTTTGCAACAAGTTTATTTGAAATGCTTTGAATTTAAATCATTGGCCTGTCATTGGACAAGTTGGAATGATAGAAGCCTAATTCATTATTGATATCCTATTCAATTATGGTTTTGCATGTAATTGGGCTGCTTAGATAGCACTTTTAGGGAATAGTGTGTATGTAATTGGGCTGCTAAGATCAGAGCATGCTAAACTAGCTGACGCTAAAAGATTGAGGGGATACAGTCCTCGTGATGCCAGGGCTGGCATGCTCTGACACGTTGCCTTTTTGATGGGCTGCATAACCTAACATGTGAATGCATGTGCATGCACATGATCAGAAAGATCTTTGGGGATATGCCTAAAATGTGAAAATGGTGAAAGGATAGTGAGTAGCCATGGTGGCTGAGCATAAGTTGGCGATGCCCTCTTAATGATTTTGGATTGTCAAGCATAAGTGATTTTGAGCTTTTAGAAAATGTACGCAGCTGAAAAGAAAAAGTAATAAGGATGGCTTAGTGAGAATTGAAGCGTGCTTACTGCATGCTCATTGTTGACTTGGATGAAAAGTTTAAATTTCTCATGTCACTATATAACAGATTTTGGATGAATCAATTTGTTACGCTTCTTAAAACAATCTGGCTTTTCCTAAAACAATCTGGCTTTTTCCCAAGTTCATTGGCAGGCCTGAAAAAGCTCTTGCTTCGCCCCTGGCTAGCCTTTTTGCCTATGCTGCCATTGTTTGTTTACTTTTGTTTTGTTTGTAACTGATGTAAGTTTATATGCCATTAGATGATACTTAAGTCAGATGAGAGCTTTTATATGTTTGGGTAGTTAGTAGGATAGGGGAGTCTGGCATCAAGTAGTTCTGTGAGTGATGGCCTGATGGATTGCAGGACAGTTGATTTGGCATTAGTCTTTGTAAAATATGAGAGGATAATTACAGAGTCCAATTAGAAATCAAAAGAGAAACCCTGACAAATATTTTTTTCTCATAAACAATTAAATGCATGTGAAATTTACATGTGCTGGTATGCTTGTGAACACTGTGTTAACTTTATGATTTTTAGTTAAATAGATCTATTTCATTTCTTTTCTGAATGATTTTCCCCTTTAACATCTATTTGATGTCTAGTCTGAAATGCTTCTACTTCATGCTGACTGCATTATTGGGTATCTGCTTGTTTCCCAATTATGTGGTTTCAACGTCTGTTTCCTGCAGCTTGGCAGAGCATTATTCAACCACCTTAAGGTTTACACGGGCCCAACTCATCCACACGAGGCTCAGAAGCCGATTGACTTGCCGATAAGGGACAAGAGAATACAAATTGAGAGATAGATTTGCTTCGTAACCCTGGCTTTAGATATGGCTATCAATCTATCTTTGCCACAATGTTTCCCATGTTTGTGGCATCAGATTTTAGCTTCGTGCATAGCCTTCCTATGAAGAAAAGCTTTCTGTTCACGTTTCTCTTGGATAATAGAGGTAATTGGAATTGGTCTTGCCTGTCTTTTGCCAAGGTTCATCGGGCAATCAAGGAAGTTCATTTTGTAGGTTTCCGTTGTTTCAAATGTACTTTACCTGAATCTACAATGTTTTTTGTGTCACGATTTATTATTTGCTTAAATGAAAGGAGTAGACTGCTTCTTTATTATAGCTGGAGACTAGCTTAAATGTAATTTTCCAAGCCTTTACATGCTATGTCTTCTCTTTGAAAACATCATAAATGTCAACAATATGCTCATCATTTTTGGTAGCGAAACCAATCTTAATGTTATGTTAAAGACCGCACGTGACAACTCGTGTAGCAACTTTCTCAAGCTCTAACTCTACTAGAGACTTAGCACTATACATACTAAACAATCCCTCTCATTTTTTTTATGTTTTTTGTTATCCTTGATTTATCTGACAATTTTATCACGTACCTTAAATTATACAAGATTTTTTACAGCAATATCACCACATCTTCTAGAAAAGATGAACAAAAACATCAATTTTCAAGCCGGATGAAACAAAAGCTTTGTTAGAATATAAAAAACATGAGAATTTTAAACCCTGTTTAAAAGGTAGAGGTTAGATTATGAAGGGTTCTTTATTCAAAACAAATATAAAAAACCATCAGATAGTTCAAATGTTGATGGCACGAGTAGAAATTAGACTAAGCATACTTATCTTCCATCATCTTGTAATAGTAATGATAATCATTTAATTGTTTTTTTCTTCTTTTTCTGGACTAGTTCAGGTGGTGGAAAGGTAGGCAAATAAAGGAGGGAAAAAAAAAGAACCTAGAGGGAGAAGGTAAGGCAGGTTTAAAGAGAAAACAACACCCAAATGTAATAAAAAACTAGTTCAAGGTAGTAGATTAAACACTGATAAAAACAAAAATCTATGAAAATGATGAGCCTTCAATCGAAGAAATAACTAGAACAAACAGGCAGTCAATTCTAGGCAAGGAAGGCAACATCATGGAGAGAGGAAATTCGTAAGGAAAAAAACAAAACAGCACACAATCATACAGTAGATTGAGTGATTCATAGGGAGTGCGATGAAACTTTATGAAAAAAGCAATTCCAATTCTAAGAGTAATTTATCAAAGAAAGGCTTGAGGTTTGTAAACCATTAGCAACGAAAACCTACAAGGATCAATTATTGTGTACAAGAGAAAACTGAAATCAAATTTCCCCTTTAACCGAAGCTTAAGAAACGAAAAACAAGTAAAAATGAACAAGAAAATAAAAGAAGGATCAAATAAATTGAGAAAAACTTAAACAATTGTGCTTTAAAAGAAAATGTAGCCACCAATAAAGCTGGAGAGAGCCAAGAAAAAAGCCTATAAATAAATAGTTTTAAAAGAGAAGCATAATTAAGGCAAGGCAGGACTAGCGTAGTGCACCTTGAAACGAAAAGGAACTCAAAGCATAACTGAATTAAGCACAGAAATGGAAAATATTCAATGAAAAAGGAAACAAAGAAAAGGGAAAATAAGGAAAAAGTAGGATAAAAACATCATATTAAATTCGGAGGGCAGTTGCAAGAGGTCACAAACTATGTACAGGACAACATAAGAAGGGAAAATATTACATCATATCGAAAGCCATCACATCAGAGCTAGATGGTTTGGCAAGGGGATTAACAATCTAGGGAAGAAAGAGAGGCAGCACATGAGAGAATAGGGGAAAACATAGGGGAAGAATGCTTGAAATCCTTAACATGTAGCAAGATAGGGAGAGAATATATATATAAAAAAAGAAAGATAGGGCAAAAATCTAGAAAAATCGGTGTTATGAACTACATCATCGAGAAGAAGAACTATGTATTAGAAACAGGTCAGAAACCAACAACCAACTCGAGAAACAAAGATAGGATCCTAGACAACTTACATAATAGGTCAGATATAGCTCTAAAGATAAGAAAATAACATGAAAAATTAGAAAAAAAAAAGAAATAAATGCATTATTAGGACATCAACTTTGTACCTTTTCTCAATCAAGTACATATATTTTAATTTTTTGATATCAATTTCTTTCTTTTTTTAAATATTTAATATAATTTAAAATATTTTAATCCATTAAATATAAAATTATTTAAAAATGAGATATTGACATAAGTACTAGATTAACATAATAAAAAATGTTGGTGCACTAACTTTTTTTTTTAAAATAAATCAAATGTACGTACTCGATCATGCAAAACCTAAGTTGGTGTACCAAAAATGGATCAAGGTTAAAGGACACGTCATCAAATTATTGAGTAACTTACAGAAAGTGGAAGGAAAAATTTGAATGGAAGTTTTGAAAAAGTTATAATATGCCCTCAAATAAGTTAACAAGTATGAACAGAAATGATGATAACAAGGCAAAGAAATATGCTTAAAAACAAAAGTAATAAGATGATGATGGATGGACAGTTGATGAGGTAAATTGGAGCAAACGTCTCTAATCTCTCCCCTTCCAATAGTCAGAATCCAAAGAGACTGGATAAAGATCACCAGCAGATGTAGAAGCAGCAGTCCACGGTCCATCCATTGACAGGGTACGAGTCTCACTTATTTCCTGTTCGTTGATAACTTGAAAATGCCTCCTCATTTGTTCAATCTTCTTCCCATCCGTTGACAAGCTTCTTTCTGGAATGTCAATATCTTGAAAAACTGCGCTTCCATCGAGCATGCTTACTACTGAAGACATCGCAGGCCTAACTTCTGCAGAGACATTACTGCAGAGGAGAGCCACATTAATCATTGTCATCACCTCTTCTTTGTTGTAGTCTTGGCCTAGTTTTGGATCAACAAGCTCCAGCAAAGTCCCTTTCTCCTTCAAAACCAATGCCTAGAAAACAAGATGGATATATATACTTAAGTACAATGATAATAATACAAATAAATCAATCAAGACGCCGAGAAACTGTTTCTACCCAATCAAGAAGATAAACAGTGTCCTCCTTTGTTCGATGACTAGTATTGCTCTTCCCACTGACAATTTCCAAGGCAACGATTCCAAAACTATAGACATCTGCTTTGTCAGTCAAATGACCCCGCATTGCATATTCAGGAGCCATATACCCGCTGCAAAAATAACCAATATCAAACAGCTTAGACTGAGTTCTATTCAAAAGACTTAAATCTTATGGTGGATGGCTCTTTTTCAGTTTATATATATATATATATATATATTATTGGACGGGGGATAAGTTCTGGTTGCTGACCAAATCTTTTTGAAGCTGTAGGATGGACTCTTTTTTTTTTTTTTTTCCTTTCATTGTATTCAACTTAAAATATAAGAACTAAAAAGTATTAACAAGATACAACAGTAGAGAGCAGGCTCACAGGGTTCCGGCAACTCGGGTGCTTATGTGGGTGTTTTCCTCTTCGTCAAGTTTGGCTAGCCCAAAATCAGATATCTTTGGGTCTAGATTCTTGTCAAGCAACACATTGGTGGCCTTGATGTCTCTATGCACGATCTTCAATCTTGATTCTTCATGAAGATAAGCTAAACCTTTTGCTATACCAACACAAATCTTGTGCCTTGTTGCCCAATCCAAATTCACCTGGTATTCTTCAGGACCTTTGAGACAAGATCAACAGTGATGCTAAGTATAAGGTGAGTATTTTGTCCCTTCCCATACAAGCATGCATACCTTTACATGTATGGAAACATCTAAGAGCCAAGAGCTTGAAATCAATTAAATTATGTTCTTTGAATTTACCAAACAAAGCACGAGCAAGGCTGTTATTTTCCATGTACTCATACACCAACAATAATTGATTGCCTTCAATGCAACATCCGTGAAGCTTTACAAGATGAGGGTGTTGCAGAGCAGAAATCATGCCAATCTCATTCACAAACTCACGGTTTCCTTGTTTTGATTTGGAGGAAAGCTGCTTTACAGCAATTGCGGTTCCATCTGATAGAACACCCTGCATCAAGGAAATAATGTAAAAACTTTCGCAAGACAAGTATTGCATCAAGCTAAGAATCTTAAAAATGTTACAAAGGCCATGAATTAAGAAACCAAGTAAAGTTCATGTTGAATACCTTGTAAACAGGACCAAAACCACCTTCTCCAATTTTATTAGCCGGATCGAAGTTGTTTGTAGCAGCTTTAATTTGCCTCAATGTAAATGAACCTGTTTTTAATTCTAGGCCCTTCAAATCTGTTGGAGAGGCGAATTTGTTTCAGAAAAAACCCCGTTTCTTGGAATTAATTTCACTTCTCTTTCTCTCTCTCTTTTGACTTCTCATTGTCAATCAGTTTCGCCATAGCAGCCTTCTTTTTTCCAGTTTCAGCTTAACAGATTTGATTTATATATATATATGGTGTTGATATGGACAAATCGTATGCAGAAATAGGAAAATAAAGATAAATCTTAGAAAATACCATTACGCATGCTGATCTTCTGTCCTAAACAACCTTTCCACCAGAGAATTCCTAGAATCAGGAAGATGACAACCACTACTGCAGCCACAATGCCAACCACAGTGCCAGCAGATGTACCATTACTACTGCTATTTTCTGAAGGAGGTACAAAATCTGCAGGAAGCAAAGAGTTTATAACAGAAAGACGAATAACATCACTTTGTAAATCAAATTGGCTGGACAATACATTATTCGTATGGAAGTGCAGAAACTGTACCTTCAGACTAGCTTCAAATAGCAGTATAAGGAAACATTATCAGTTTTTATTGCTTTCATCTTTTTCAGAGATAAAGCAATTTATTTTTGTATTAAATCTTGTAATAAATCAGTAAGAAAAGGTATAGTACGTACGAAAGCTTTCCATTTGGTCTCATGAAAATTGCTAAATGCACCTCCCAAATTCCAATAATAAATAAAAATGGAAAATTTGTATGATGACCCCCAGATTTATTGGTCATTTGGATGGAGAGGGTACACAAATTGGACAAGACCAAGCTGCATTGATGGTTTTGTACAGTACGAACAGAATCCTGATGATTAAGTTCATAAAATTTCCTCAACTTACCAGGTGTCACAGAAATAGCCGATATGAGAGGTCCATAAACTCCTCTAACAGGCAGCGCAGTTGTCCCTTTTCCAGCCCAATAAAAGCGTATCTCCAATGCATTTCCAGTTACGTTGGCAGTAAAATTTTTGATAATTGCCTTACCAACACCGCCTGCTTCTTCCTGGATACTGAAATCCTTTTGTACAAGCTTTCCTTACATTTTTGTTGTCAGATTGCCATTAATAAAACTGAAAGAAAAATGAAATTTTGTATGTTCATTCAAACCCTTAATACTGAATGACAGAATAAAACTCTGATCGAGTCACCTGAATATAGATATCAAAAAATCGCCTGCCAAGGCTGCTGTGTGTCTTGTCATCAGTAAACATTATCTCTGCGAAGTGAAGGGTAACTGTGTAGCTCCCACTTCCCATACAGAAACCATAATAAGTCAGAGAGGTTGGAGAAAGGCGTGCATCCATGTAAAGTGCTGAAGTATTTGCGGAGAGTTTGGTTGCATTCGTCCATGTGTAGGAATCTGAGGAACGGGCATCGTCCATGAAGTGACCAGTTGTACTAACTGCCCAGTTAGTTCTGCTCTGGTAGAATCTTGATGGTCCGGCTGGATCTGTATCATCTTCGTATATGTTCCCTTCAATAGTTGCTCCTTTTCCTCCACAATTTATGTGGAGGGAATAGAATTCTGTTGCCAAAGCAACAACATATCAATCACCATGGAATAGGAACATGCGCAAATCAAACTACAATGGCAAAGAACAACTTATGTATGTTGAAAATATTCTTGTTAACTTGTAGAAGCTTAATTTTGTTAAGCTACTATGTGAATACTTCATTTACAATTGATCGTATTCTTATGCAATTCTATTCCTTCATAATGAAAAGAAACATGACATCATGGTACACTTGATCTTTAACTTCCAGAACAAGACTGCTGATTTATAGATATTTGGCACGCAAAAGGAGCAAATAATTTTCTATAACACAATCATAAGCTTGACTTACGTTTTGGACAATGAAAGCTTCTTAAGCATGGAACAGTACTTCCGCTGAGATACAAAAAGAAAACAAAAAACAACGGCAACATATCTGATTAAAATTTAGAATAGGAAAGGCCTAGACCAAATTATCAAACATCTCTCTGGAAATAGATAAGATTGAGTTTTCAGGAGTCTATAAACACTTACGAGACGTTGCCCATTGAAGCACTGCCAAATAAGTTACTGTAGGAAATCAGAGAAGTGGGAAAAATTAGCTCTTGCGCAAATTGCAATTGAATGTAGGGGGATGAGGGAATGATGGATAGAAAAGAAGTGGAGAGCATAAAACTTCACTTTCTTACACATTGCGCTGTAGACATGAGCTTTCATTTCTGAAATTGTTGTAGGAAAGATCACTGCCAGAAGAAAGGTAGATGTTCAGTTCAAAATGTAAATCAATCATACAATTTGTTGATCGCATATTTGGTTAGGGGTGCCTAATTAGTCTTAGTGGTTATGAATCCTTCTGCTGTTCTCATTATCTCTTAATGCATTGAAATTTTAGTTTTAGGCATCAAATCTAGAAAAAGTTGCTAGATGACTTGGTTTTCCAATTGCAATAGATCATCAGTGAGCTGCAATCGAAACCCCAAACCAAGTTTATTATCTTCTGAACACAATCTAGGGATGGTATGGAATTGTGTTCCTCAAATGGCTGCTGTATCAAGAGAACAATAGGTAAATTCTGTAGCATATTTGTAAAACTAA